ATGCATATGTCAATTTGGATATCTTAGACAAGAGAGGAATAGTGGTGGAAGGAACCTTACAAACAAGGTCCTGAGAGGTTAACTGGCTTTCTCAAAACGGTCATTTGTTGAACTACCGACATTCATATTTCTGGTTTAGCAGGCTGTCTCTCCTTTAGGTTATGTGAACTGTTTTATGCGATGAGTATGATATAGATACATTCAATATGAATTACTGAGAAGGAGAACACTCTGGTTAGCAGTGAAGCTTACCTTATTTGCAAAATGTTACAAAATCTCTAGATGATAGATATCCAGGAAAAAGAATAATCTTAATTGATTGATGTTTGCAATAACATGCAATGAAGTTAGGGAGGAAAGAAACTATATTTCTCTCCATGCATAGTTTGGTATTAAGTATCTGCCCTTCATAGTGCTTGTACTCTATACTCTCCTTAAATAAAAAATTTCTTTCCTATAGAAACAGTTGGCATGTTATTAATATTTGAATAGAATGTTAACCTGGTCCAAATACTTTCTAATCTTTCTTGTAATGTTGTTTCTTTTGGGGCTTTAGCTCAGGGTGTGACAAGTATACCTTCCTTCTGCATCCAAGAAGCAAACTAATAAAATAAATATAAAATATTATCTCCAATTTGCACCAATAAGATGGTACTGTCATCACCTTTAAAAATATATTTTTTCAATGATCACTAAGACATTCATTTATATTCAACAAGTAACTCTTGAGACCCTCCTTTGTATTAGGTACTGTGCTTATCCTTTAGATTCTGAATTTTGCTCTATTTAATAGGTTGATTATAATTTGTTAAGAAGTTTCCAACATGAGATCAGAGTTATGGGAACTCAAAGATATGACCAAGCACACAGTCATAATGTGAGGATGTAAAACTTGTTTCAGAAGCATTAATTCATGCAAACAATGTTTTCTAGGTGATTACCTTAAGATTCATGGGATCAAGCATGAAAATAAGTGGGCAAAAAAAAAATATTATGTTGGGCAGCACCCGTGGCTCAAAGGAATAGGGCACTGGCCCCGTATGCCGGAGGTTGCGGGTTCAAACCCAGCCTTGGCCAAAAAAAAAAAAAAAAACTGAAAAAAAAATTCTGTAGCACAGTTTTCTATTCTTTTCATGTTTAACCGCCAATGGAGGCAAGAATTTAAAGGCTCAGCAAATAATTCCTAAATACTGTTACTTTATACATTAAATGCCCTTTTACTTTCTATGCCCTCACAATGGAAAATATTTCTGCACATTCTATTATTATCATGTTTTTATAGTGAATATAAAAATTCTGAATGTATACTGGTTCCTCACTAGAACTTTTTTCAGTTCTACTTCATATTGTCAAATACATAGTTGTCATAATACATATGACTGTGACGTCTTTTTCTTTTTCATAATATAATACTGATGGATGTGAAAAATTTAGTGTATGTTCTTAATAAGGCCTGTAATATTTGAATATTTTACCACAATAAGGCCTACAATAATTAATATCTAAATATTCAGACCATTGAAGGTAGTACCTTTTTGATATGTTGAACTAAAACATTTTAAAAGGTCTGTTCTATTTTTATACCCACAATTAACCCCAGGCATAATTATAAGATTTTATAACCAGTAGAAAGTCAATTTTTTCAAATCAATATATCTTTTGCATGAAATATCCTTCAAAGAATTATAATCCACAGGATTTATTGAAGGAGTGGCTGAGAACCATACACTTACTTGAGGGCTGCATTTCACTTAAATGCAGTGAAAGCCCATTTCCTTCTGCTAAAGCTCAACTCCTAAAACACTTAAACCAGAAACAATGCTATCAAGTTTGAGATTTTGCTTACTGAATATCTTCAAAAGTCAAAGCTCTGCATAGACTATGCTATCCTAAATACCAGTAAGACTTTTCGCATATAGGAACTGAGATATATTTCTATAATAAGAAGGGAATGTGATGAAAAAAGTGAGATTAAAAGAGACAGGATTCTCAGTTCTAATCCTAATTATTGTCACTAGTTGTTGTGAATGTGTGTGCATGTATGTGTGTCAACATGTGTCTTGCATAAGTAATATCTCTGGATTTAGTTAACTCATAAATAGAATAGTTTATAAACATTGCTATAATTCTTTCTATCCCTAAAACTCAGAAATTAATGGACCCTGGATTGAATGGTTCAGCTAAGTCATTAGTTTTTATACTTCAGATTCAGAAAACTTATTCTTCTGGGGCATGGTGATGGGTTTTCAATGTACCAGTTAGTCAATCAATAGTATTGGTTTGGGTTGGATCATATTATCAGAATATGATTATAGTCACAGTCCAAGATATAGTGTAAATTCACAGTTAGCAACAGAGGCAACTGCCCTCAGGTCTTTCAATTTGTTTAGCAATGTACCCTCTAAAGATCCCTATACTTTTTATAGGCCAAAATTGACAAAGTAAATGCAAATATATGAATTTGAATATTTTAACACTAAAATAAATGTGGGAAGAGATCGTTACTTATCTAGAAGTGCATCCATACAGACATATTTCTTAATGAAGCATGGTTAGAAGGGGTAAAATGAAGAGAATCTACTTTAGGTCAAATGAGTAGACTAAGTTTGGAGCTCAGAAACGTGGAAACTTGCTAGGTAACTGAGGAAATTTGCTATTTGTTTGTCATTAAATCCGTAGTGACCCATATAAGCTCCACTGAGATGAATATATGCATAAACGCAGACTTGGGCTGGAATTGAAAGGAAGCTTTCACATGTGTGTCTGCTTAATTGTGAACTCCTTTTTTAAGGCAGTAATGGTACCTGTCATCTTATCTCTGTGGTAGTTAGGGTACTGCCTGACACTGCACACCTGTACAATTATGGCTAAAGAAATGAACCTGGGGATCAAACAATCCTGTATCTAGGATTACTACTTTGATCAAATTTTTGCAGCACCAGGGTAAGCTCATTCTCTTTTCAAGGCAGTCTGGATTGTTGAATATATATCTCCTTTTTACTGAATTGAAATTTACTTTTCTCTCTAATTTCTATCTGATATAGAACATCATGGATTTGAGTTCTGCTGATATGAAAATGTAATAGGATTGTTAGAATAAGACACAAATAGATCCAAATGGAGAAATATCTTAATTGTTTTAAGGATTTTTGGCTTGACTGGAATAAAGCCTTTGAAGATTCTTTTGAGGACTCCTTTCCTTGAAGAATCATTGCCATGCCATCTTTTCTCACATGCTACCTCTGCTTATCTCAATTCTTCTTTTCTCTAAACTTAGAGAAGAAAATACTGTAGACAATTCCAAATTAAGGAATAAACTCTGAAAAAAATTTAGTGTTATGATAGGTTTAGTTTGGTTTTCTAAAGCCCTGGTCAAATGTGCTGTGTATAAACAGTTACTAAAATGGAACATAAAACATCACTTCAATTAGAAGCTCTAAAGTAGAACTGCCACTTTATTGTAATAAAAATTTCCCATAACTTTTAATGCCATGTATTTATTCATTCAATAAATCTGAATTTATATCCTACTCTGTATTAGCATTGTGTGTTTCCTATAGATCTCCATTTTATTAAGTTTAATATCTTATATTTAATACCCTGATGATAATTTCATTTATAGTCTCTTAAGAGATAGAACCAAAATCAACTGATAATGATGACTTAAATGGTATGTCTATTTATTTGTCTATATAGTAAAATAAAACTGTCTTAGGTATTGGGACTTCAGAAAAAAAATATTTTAAATTGATAAGTAATAGCCAAGTCATGGAAGAAGCCCAAGTGCCCATTGACCCATGAACTGATTAATAAATTGTGATATATGTATACCATGGAATATTATTCAGCCTTCAAAAATATGGAGACCTCACCTCTTTTACGTTTACATGGATGGAGCTGGAACATATTCTACTTAGTAAAGTATCTCAAGAATGGAAGAAAAATATCCAATGTACTCAGTACTATTATGAAACAAATTTACAGTCACTCACACTTTCATATGAAGAATAGATCACAACTATGGCCCAAGATGAAGTTGGGGGGGTGGTAGGGGAAGTCAGATTAAGGGAGGGTGAAGGGATCACACCTATGGTGCACAGTGCAAGGGTACTTGTTGGATCTATTAGTATAGAGTATAAATGTCTTAACACAATAATTAAGTAAATGAGATGAGGTATATATTAACCAGTGTGATGTAAGCATTCCTAATTCTATATGAAATCAGCATATTATACCTCATAAATGCATTAATGTATACATGGTCTATGTGTTTATGATTTAATAAAAAAAACCAAAAAACAAAAAAAGAAAAAAATAAATTGATAAGTAATTTAAAATTATTCATAAATAGTACCATATATAAAATAGTAAATTGCACAAGAACTTTACGTCCACATTGTATTTATAGATATCCAATATCTGTTTTCTTTGTTACTTGAGGAAATTACTTATTTTATTATAATAGTGAGTGTTATCAGTGTCAGGAAGAGAATGGTAGAACCGTCTTAGATTTTATTAAGTGTCATTAGAATTATTTTCCAGGTACTGAAAATTACAACAAATTAGGTATTTAAAAATATTTGAATAATTTACTCGAGATCATGAGAATAAGTAGCTGCATTTATAAGTCAGCTTAATGAAAATAAATGGGAAGTCTAATATCTTCCCGAATAGAACAGTTCTGCTTCACATCTTTCTTATTCACTACATGAATAATTGTGCCTTCACAAATGTGGCAAATAGGTAAAAAATAGATCAAATAGAGACAGTTCTACACTTGGCTCAACTTCAAAGTCAGAAAAGTTAGGACTCAATTGCAATATGTTCTTTCTTTGTTACAGTATGTAAACTTGGAACTAAAGATTGATTATAATACTCAGTGAAAATCATTCACATTTTAAGATAAGGATCTTCATCTCTGAAATAGATTAAATAGCTGATCAGCATAGAAACAATAATCAAATCACAAATTATATTATGGACAATTACAAAACTGTGAATAAAAAATGTTTACAAATGATAGTGAAGAATAAATTATTTTGCCACAAACATAATCAGGTATATACAGGATAATTTAAAACCAAATGGAATGACTGCAACTGTGGCACTTTTAAAAATTACCACCAAAATATACATGTTACTCAAGAGAGGATGGTAAAAATAAATTGTGACATGAAAGTAGAGTATTATTTCTTTTCTTATCCTTAAAACTTGGAAGATATTGCAACAAAATATTTTACCTAGTGTGCAAATGATAAAAAATTTTAATTCCAAAACCATTTCTCTAAATTACCAACAGACTTATACTCCTGATGCCTTTTCACATGATCACAAGCCAAACATGCATGTGATTCCCAAAATCGTGGAAGGTTTACTGTGAAATCCTTCCTCCAGTTAAAGTAACTAAGGTATAACTTATTGTTTTTGTCAACTTCTTTCAGATACTTTGCTAGCTCACTGGGAGAGTTATAATCTTCCACGTGAATGAATGAATCTGCAGGAATATAATTCTCATAGTTTTCCCTAGAGGGCCCAAGAACAACTGGAACAGAGCCAGCCAGAAAAGCATTGTAAAGCTTTTCTGTGATGTAATCTTTATGGATTGAATTTTCAAAAGAAAGGTAAAATTTACAAGTAGATATGGTAGGAATCAAATTTTTATCATTGACATATTCTCCAAATGCTTGCCCATAGGTATGGATTTCAATGCTTTTGCTTAGCTCATTGTAATACTTGACCCTGGCATGCTCAGGATTCCAGTTACTTACAACCCAGCACACCAATTTCTCTTTACTTGGCACTTCAAACACGAAGGGGTTGGTGCTCACTGTCAAGAAGCCGTAAGGCACTTGGATGTCTGAGTCACGGCGGTAAGTCAGAGTCAGGTTGAACAAGTGCTCAATACCACTCTTTTGAGGAGTGTGAGTTGGTGATTCCAAATTCATCCAAATCCATTTCTGGAAGGGTGGCCTCGCTTGCTGAGGTAAATTAGTCAGATCCCAACTGATGTCTCGGTGATGGATCAAAACCGCATGAGACTTGTTATACAGTGAACGGTCCGTTGTGAGATGGCATCCTTGGATATTGAACATTGCTTGGCAGGATGTAAGGTCAAAGGTCTGCCCAAATGGCCACACCCAGACCAGAATGGTAGTTTCATTAAAATAATCAGTTTTGGTGGAGAAGAAATTTTTCATTTTCAGCACAGAGCTGGCTGACTCCATTGGACTGAAGATCCAGCTGTTGGTGGGCTTGATGTAAATGAGCAGACTTGCCATGAAGCAGCCCAGGATAACACAGACGATTAAGAATGGGCGGAGAATTCCTTTGGATGTAGATGTCATAGTTTTTTCTGTGAAACAGAGAAAGACGGAGGGGTAGATAGGGGCAGAGAACCAGAGATAATCATATAAACAATATGAGATAAATGTGGTATATTCAGAAATATCCTTAATCACAAATTCAGCTGAATTTTCCTTTTCAATATTTTCAAACCATCTAGAGAAACAGAAGCCAAGAAACTGCTGTAAAGAGAAAGTTTCCCATACATTCTTCCCTACAAATAATGATTTAGCATTGGTTCTAAATGTACCAGTATACCTTCAAGCCAAGCAACTTTCTTTTCAATGCTATGCCTACCTTTTCTATTTTTATTTGCTTGTAGAAAACTGGTACCAAATAATGTAATCACCAAACTCATGACTAAGATTTTTAGTATTCTGAAACCACATCAGATTGATGAACATTTCCCAGCTGCTGTAGTAACTTACTGGTATACTGAGACTCTAATACAACTTTGAAGTTCAGATGGAATTCAATAGAAAAACAAAATTTTCAAAGGAAAAAGTTATGTTTTTATTGCTTGACATAAATTTATCTTCATTGTTTACAGACATATTAGTACAGTCATCTAGTAAAAAATGGCAACTTATATATAATTAAATAAGTTCACTGATGTAAATTTTGATAAATTTAAATATTTCATTGTCTTATTATTTTTATTCATTTTTTTTTCACCATTTTCTTTGTTTAGTCTATTAGAACATCCAATATCTTTAAAGACATAAAAATCAAATGTTCTATTGGTGTTATAAACATGTTCTTACTTGTGTATTCTTACTTATGTGGTATTGGGGCTTTAAAAAAATTATTTTTTTGTATTAAAATGTTATTGGTATTGTAAAAGTAAAGTAAATGGATTCTCAAAAGAGTTATATTTCATGGACAACAATTTTGATCTCATAAATTTTAGCAGATTATGGCTAAAAAGATGAATTAAGGCTTTTTTTTTTTTTAAAAGCATCTACAAGGTTTTCCTTTTTGACATTCATGCCTCTTTATAGATATGAATATAAAGATATAATATGTAATATATTTGTGAAACTGTTTTGTGATAAAATTCTTACTGAGCCTCTGAAACTCATATTGTTCTTCTCACCAGAATAATATGACTTATCAACTTCAGATTCATTAATGTATTTCATAATTTTGATAAAATTGATATAGAAAAATTAGATGTTTCCTCCAGAAAAGTGAGAGATTATCCTTCATTTAATTATAAAAAATGTATATGAACGTTTAAATATTATACTGTTTTGCTGTGTAGATTTTCTTAAAGCATATGACATTCTCTGAGTAGTGGAGCCTGATTGTGAGTCCAAAGATTAGAGAAATTGCATTCTAGAACATACTCAGAACAGAAATATTGGAAGCAAAGACTGTAGCTCACAGTAGTTAGTCTTATAGTCAATAACAAAAGGAAAATAGAAAATTTAATGTATAATGTAAATTATATGTAAAATATAATAAATATATAAAAAATTTAATGTATAATAAAATTTAGTGTCCAGTAATCAAACTACTAATTAATTCTTGGACTACAGAGAAAATCAGGATGGAATTAAGAAGGAATCTCAGTTATTCAGAATTAAGTGATATTGAAGGCACTAATGGCCAAACTTTGTAGTATGGTAGAACAGTGCTTAGAAGGAAATTTACAGGCTTGCACATTCTATAGGAAATTAATTAATTGATAGGTCAATTCAAGAATCCAGACAAAGAACAATGGCACAAAGTTAAAGAAATAAGAAGAAAAAGAATTAAGGAACAGAAATTTGAGATGATTAATGATGTCCCGAGTTTTGAAAATATTAAGACAAACTTCAGGCAATGGTAGTAAAGAAAAAAGGATACATTCAAATTTAATATCAAAAATGGTCAATAATTATTGATGTAACATACGTTAAAAATCAGAAAAGACAATTTTGAGTAATTTTATGTTAATAAATTTGAAAGATGGCGCGGGGGTGGTTGGCTCATGCCTGTAATCCCAGCATGCTGGGAGATGAGACCAGACTGACCTAGAATGAGACCCCATCTCTTAAAAAAAAAAAGATAGCCAGGCGTTGTGGTAGGCACCTGTAGTCCCAGTTACTTGGAAGGCTGAGGCAAGGGAATGGCTTGAGTCCAGGAGTCTGAAGTTGCTATGAGCTATGATGCCATAGCACTCTGCTAGGGGTGACAAAGTGAGACTCTGTATCAAAAAAAAAAAAAAACAATTGAAAGATGATTAAATGAATGGTTGTATTTTTGCACCACCAGAGAAATATCAACATTGCCACAAGAAGAAACAAATTCTGATTAAACAAAGAAAAGTTAGAGAAATGGAGTTCATAAACAGCAAATAACTCAAAATAAACATTAGGCCTAGATGGTTTTTCAAGGCTTGCTATCAACAACAATCAATAGGGAATAATGTCCCACTTTTCTTTTTCCTTAATAAATCATTCTAGAAAATAGAAAATAGAAAATAAGAAAAGAAAACTATCTCATTTTATGAGGCACATTATAATCTTTTTACTCATAAAACATATAGAAAGTATTTTAAGACATTCATCACACTTTTGAACACAAATGCCAAAATACAAAAATTTAACAATAAAGAACATTGGAAATATATTATAATGTGATTCAAGAGTAAGTTTATGGGAGTTTATTTACATTTGACCCTACTTTATAAATTTAACTAATAGGACAATATCTCAATTCTGTCTAGATCTGGGATCTAGACCAAAAATGCTATTGGAAGGGTCTCCTTTTCATCAGAACAACATTAATCTTTAAACTATGCATGAGTATTAAAGGTTGTCTGCATACTGCAGTGTTTTCTTTCCATGAGACCAATGTTTAATGATTTTTACAAATGCTCTAATTGAAAGTTTCCTTAAATCTTTTTAAAATTGAAGTGCAGTGGCAAAACCTCACTAAATAAATGTCAGTTCAATATAATCAGGTTAAAGCTGTAACAGCCACCATTTAGTAAAGGCTCACTCTCTGCTAGGCTCTGTGCCAAGCACTTTACACACATCATTTCCTTTAATCCTCCTGGAACCCCTATGAAGGAAGGAATCTTTTCCTACTCCTTCACACATGAGAAAATTGAAGGCCGGAGATGGAGTGACTAGCTTAACCATTGGGTTGTGCTTTTTCTTGCCTTCTATACCCTTCTTTGAAGAGCACTTACATCTACTCATTATATTCCCAAAGAAACTGAGGCCCCACATGATTATGAAACTGAGAAATTTGCCTAAAGTCACACAGTAAGTGATAGAGCATACTTTTAAACCCTGTCCACCTGGCTCTGAAGTCTGAGTATTTGATCACTGATTACCCAAATTGCAGCCACATTATACAACTATCTTGGTAATACCAGAATGTAAACTTCATGAGGGGCTTTGTTTTCTTCACTGATGTGTCCTCATCAGCAGAATATAGTCCAATAGGTGCTTAATGAATGTTATTATGTACTACAAATGAAGGGCTGAATTGCTGAGTCCCATTTATCTACAAGGTACTATGCTTGCTAGGTAACTAGCTACACCAAAATGAACAAAATGTGAATGGATGGAGATGTGCTTGGTTGACTTCTCTGCGCATTAGGCAGTAACCTGCACATAATAACTGCCAATAAAATGGGCAGATAGGGAATCCCATATAAGATGACAAAATCTCCCAGTTTTGCCACCCTGTTGTGTCTCAAAGTTGGTATTTACCCAGAACTTTTCCCTCTTTTTTTTTTAGCCTAATGAGAACGAATCCAGCAGTGGGCAGAAACAATGCTCCTTCTACTGCGTGGTTCTCAGTTTTCTTGCTTCCTGGACATTTTGCATTACTTGAGGTTCTTCTTGGTAAGTCTCTGAGCAGCCTCTCTTTCAATTTTTCACTGCTGCCAGGGTCAATTACTAAATAATAGGGGCAGTTACTCAGAACCCCTGTGTGGGACGGAGCTGTCAGAAAAGTTTGCTTCCTAGGGCCAAATTGACACCCCTTGACAGAAACCTTTTCACCTATTCCTCATAACTAAAATTTGGCTGGATGCTCAACATGTCTTGAACTGTTAATCAATACAACTTATTTTTAAAATACCTGCAGCAGTGTTACTACAGTTTTCATCAGATACAGCAACAAATTTATAGCATAAGCAAGTTAAAACAGTAAAAAGGATAAGTAAACCTTTCCAGTTTTTTTTTAGTAGTTTCAAGTACCATGAGAGAATGTAATTTGGAGATTTTTCTATTAAAAATACCAGAATCATACTGCCTGATAACAGTTGGTACGCATATGATTCAGTTTTTCATTAAGAGATTACCTCTAGTCATTCTTTAAGAACGCGCTACTGAATGTTAAAGAATGGAAGAGAACTTGACATAGAAAAAGTTTAGAGTTGTGATTCTCAAACCATAGACACATGTCAAGCTGTTAGGGAGAAAAATGTGAAACTAAGGAGACCAGGTAGCTTCAACGAGTAGTAATTCTACTCTAAGTTTTGTTTTTTGGGCTTTTTCGGGGAGGAAGGTATTGAATTTTTATTTTAATTGGAAAGAACAGGAGCATATTGTAGAATAGAATTCATTACTTGTCTAAAACACTGCAGCCACTGCCTATTGCTTCTGTTGACCTCCGTGTCTCACACTAGGAGGGCAGTGAAGTTGAAAGAGATTTTCTCTTAGGCCATTAGTAGTACTTGGGCCAACATATGTGACAATCACAGTGTAGTACACTTCCTCTCTCTCTGGAGATGCATGACCAAACCATTCCTAATACGACTTTTGGTCAGTGGTGAAGACATGTAAAAGACATAGACCATTTGAAAAAAACTTTAGAACAAGTTGGGAATCCTTAAATCAACTCATATTAACTCCCAAAGTAGAAATAAATCACTGACAAATTGAAGGGTGGATTAAATTTAGTGAAGGCCTCAAGAGCTATATCTTAAACAAAGTTGTTCTCTAACCTTCTCCTGTCTTATCTTTTGCCCCTCATTCTTTCTGAGGCAAGTGATAGAAACTAGAA